TCTACTATATATATATATATATATATATATATATATATCAGTCATGAAACCCACATCATTAAGGAAACTACAAAACTTTCAACAAAAATTAAACTGAATTTTATTTCATTTACACTGTTAGTCTTGACTCAACTTGAGTTGTCAAAGCACATTTTTGGCAGTTAGGCCTCTATATATGGCATAGCCTTCATGAATATATCATTACTAGCGTATAGCCCGTCAAAAATGACAGGGCAAGTACTACCACCCCATAGTATACCTCAACCTCACATTTCATAGCTAACTGAAATAAAGAAATTTTGCAAAATCAAACTTCACCAACAAAGAGGCAGAAAAGTGCAATCACGGCAATCAAACATCAGTAAATTCCTTTGTGAGCCAATTAAAATTAAGATCATTCATGAAACGAATTCATGGCATATTCATAGAATAAATATTGGTAAAAATCAGTTAGATTAACAACTTCTAGTACATAGAAAAGCTAGTGTATTTTGGTAACATTACGTTCCAACAATGGCTTTCATATTACGTTGCCCAGCAACAAAAGTATAACCTAATATTGTTGTTAGTCTACATACCAAAGTATAAAATGAAATGTATAAACAATAAAACTGGAAAAATATTTGTTGATTTCTTAATTTAGTCTTTGTTGATTAAATAGGTTTGTTTTTTATAAAAAATGTTGGTGATACAACAGAAAAAAGCATAATTCATAAACAATTTAAGTTTAAAAATGAATTGATATTTTTTAGTTTCATGATAAATTTTATGCACTTAGCTCTAGGCTAGGTGATCCCACACTACATCTTTACTTTAAGCTTATTATACCAACACTCACGACACTTATAAGGTTTCACAGCACACACCCTCACAGCCCCCTTGCACCCCCATCACTAAAATCATAATGGGCAGGCAGTAATTGAACTATTCTATCTGGATTTTGGCTTTTCTGACTCCTATTTCAAGAACTCACGAGAAATCAAGCATGATGTGACATGACACATACTGGCTTTTATATAGGTTAGATGTATATTCATTAGGCACATGTTCTTTCCTGCCAGACCATGCACACTGATGAATATATGAAAGTCAGTCAACAGCTTTGAAAGCAAGAAGATAACCATGCATTTTGAGTATCAGGAAAATATTCCCCCCAATAGAATTGCCTCCCAAAATTCAAAAGATTGTATTTATAATCATTTAACACTAACCCAACTAACACACAACATTTCTACAACATTACTGAATAGTTGTGCATTGGTAAAATCCACAACGTCATGCATTATATGTTGTGACAACGTTGTGGCACTGTTAGATGTTAATGGTGAATATATATATTAATGAAATAAACAATTTATAGAAATTCAAATAACAGTTTACATGTTTCAAAATACTGAACAACATTATTTGATATATTTTTTGTATGATTTCACAAATTTGTATGCGCAACGTTTATTGAACCACAAATTGGAGCACACTTAATATGTTTACACTTTCTACTTTGCAAATATTTGTTATTTCAATTATTTTATGAATGAGAAAATATAAAAAGATGTTGGGTTTTTGTGATTATTCTCAAAAATATGAAATTTAATACAATGAATATATTTGTAATTACAGCTTCATTGTTTGAAAAACGTTCATTTTTCATCTTGTAAGTGTACTGATATGCATAATATGTGACAATGACTTCCAAAATAAATATGAGAGGGATCCCTAAAACTCAGTTTTTTTTAAATGTGTATGTATGCACATAGTGTTTCTTAAAAAAAAGAGGTATCTTATTACTGATAACTGTATGTTTATCCTACAAAATTATGTTAAATCTTCATTTTGGCCTGAATTGAATAAATTAATCAATGTATGCATACCACGAACAAAATTATTTCTTTGTTTGTAGTTAAAGCACAAAGCTACACGCTGGGCTATCTGTGCTGTGCCCACCATGGGTGTCAAAACCTGACTTTGCATATTGTGACTGACATCTTTTCATCAATACAACTACACTTGTATACATACATTTGTTTATATTAGATAAAACCATAACCTGTCCAATCCTCTCCCAGAGGATTGAAAGATAACAAAAAATATCAACAACCTTACCTAGAATTTTTTCTGAAGTCATAAACTGGTACATTGACTACTTTTTCATTCAGGATTTCTTTGAGAGTTTTGTATATTAAGTCATTGTCAAATGCATCTGAAAAAAAAAATTTTTGGTTAATATACATGTCCATATAGGTACTACTATCCAAATTCAATGTGTCATACCTCCTATTAACATGAGTGAAAAAATTTACTGGTTGGTTAGCTAAATATCAACTATTTTTAGGGTAAACTGTAAATGAAACAGCACTGATAATCAGTGATAATCAACTTTGATAATCAAGTGAGAATTTTAAACCTTCAGAAATCTTCTAAATTTGGAAATAGCAATAGCTTGATTTCCACTTTCTTTGGCAGTTTTTAGAATAAATATGTTCAGAAGAGTTCAACATCATCTTTCAACTGATTAAGTATATCACCATTGTTCAAAAGTTCTCCACCAAAATTTTCTATTTTATTCTAAGTTCTTTGTCATTCTTATGAAATGCTTTTCAAATGTACTAAAAAAAATCTGCAGATGTATTCATTTTTGTTGTTACTTTTAGAAATTGAATTTCTGGCTTTACAGATCATTTAGATATTTCACATGTAAACTTTCTATTAATAGTAATCAAGATAACCAGTCAAGTACACTGTTTGTGTGTGTGCAGAAATATTCAGCCATTAAAATTATATTTAAGCTCAAAAATTTGAGTCTTATTTGAGCTTTCTAATGACATAACTAGCTTCTAGATAAATATGCTCTAAACATTAATAATAATCTACCAACCCCAATGCTGTCTCTATTATATTATGCTCCAGCTTGGGTTCTTACATTGTACTTTCAAAATAATTGCTTATATCTGATGCAATATAAAAGCATTCCTGAGTTTTTCAAAGCTTTTTGCACAATTTTAGTAGGATGGAATATGTCTTATCATTAAATGGTAACACAGAATATTCAATAACAGACAGTAATGTATACTGTTTTTACTTTTTCATCCACACAGTACTTGTAATCAACCATAGGGTTGAGTATGCTATATTAAAATGATTTTGAATATGTAATTCAGCAAGTCATGTGACAAACACAGCTGATATAAAGTCACATTGGAACAAAATCTATCAGAATTGCATTTTGACAATGTTTGCCATTTTGTAGAAAGTGTAATGGCATCTAAAACTGATCACTTTTGGGAAGGATACTTCCAGATGGAGATATCCCTTATACATAAGGGCATTGGAAAACAGAGAAATATGGATGAACTTGGGGAACAAGAACCATCCACATAGAGACATGCAACAAGTCACACCTCGGACTTGGTAAGCAAAGTGTATCATCTTGTAAAAAGTGTGAACCCACAAACACATATGTCAGTGACAAAAGCAATCAATATGCCTCTGGAAACAGTATACAACAAAATCAAGAAGAATCTCTGTCTGCAAAAAGGGAAAAGTCACATATGTATATGTTGCTTCCATGATATATTAGTTCAACTGTCACAAACCTGAAGCAGCTAGAGAATGAAATGGGTATCCATGCTCTTCATAAAAGATATACCTGTTACATTGCCAGATGCAGTGCCTATAGATTTTTGTGCAATTGTAGTGTTGAAACAGGCACTAGCAAACTGTTGTCCTTGTACACTATATATGTTATGGAAAGCTGCAAGGAGGATAAGCATATTTTTAACATGAAAGCTTTACAGCAACCTTTTACAATGGGCATTATGCTGCACAGCCATTGTTAAGATGCATGGTCATCAGATTGAATACAACATGACATGATGACATAAACTATAACAATGTGATGAAACTCAAAATCATTTCTAAAACATAATCAATCTCTGTATATACATTAGCCATGATTTAACTACATTTCATGTTTCACATAAGCACAATTTTAGTTAATTTTTTCACTAAAGGTATTAATATCTAGATTTTCTTGTTACAAACAATGTGCACAAGTAATGTTAATCTTCAAAGGGTATATAATAGTAAGACTTTATTGCTCAGTACTGTACATTACAATCAGACTGATAATTTATAATAAATCTTTCCGAGTTTTAAAAGATAATAAAAGTTATAAAAAATTATGTCTTATTATGATGGAGTTTCACAAATCACTGATCTACTGATCACGCTACACCACCATAAGGCAATATATACTATAGTTATTGCTCTTACTACTACTCTGGTATTATGAGAGAAAAAACAATTTGGTAAGCATTTTGTAATTTGATCCTGAATTGCAGCTTGTGTAAAACATTGGTTTAATACTAGACTAGAGATCCTTCACCCTCCTCCAAGCTTTAGAATTATTCCAGATTTTCAACTGCTGACTAGTCCATTGTCTATAGTTTCTCTTAAATGCAGAGAAAGACTGACATTAGTTTTATAATGTGCTCAAAGTTGTATGTATAGAGCACATACAGCAATATATTGTAGCTTGGACACTGGACTTTCCAATCCACAGCCAGCTCAGTGTGCTAAACACTAGACCAAGCATGGCCTACTTTTTTAATCCACTTTGCTGATAAAGTTCAAGTGAAAGCAGGGTAAACAGCACAGCAATAAAATAATAAGATATCATTCTTTTTCTAAATTACCTTTATAGTAAATGCATAAACAAATGTGAAATCTGTTATCAACATCCATGTAACAACAATTATAGGTGGCAACAGAAAAATATCAGTTTTGAAACTAAAGCTCCATAAAGAGTAAAGTTCAAAGGTAAAAATAACAAAAATTATATTACTAGCAGACTATCCACAAAACTACTAAAGTTGACTCATAACCAAGTTCAACATTAAATAACAAAGTAAACTAGGGTTTCAGTGTTTGAATAATATCAATACGAAAAAGTATTCTCTCTAGAAACTTTGTTAAGCACTTGACAAAGTCCCAAAATTCTCGGGGGTGAAGGGATCTAAGAATCACTAAAAATACCCAGTAAGGTCCAGGGACAGAAACATACTGAGGGTGAAAGGGTCTCTAAGTTTGAGTATTTTGAGCAAAAACTAAATGACGATACTGTTTTCCAAATAGTGCAGTCAGCAAAGATATTTACACTATAGCATGTGGTCTACACAGATACTATCATCATCACCATTTTAACTTTTGTTTATTTGCAATTGGTGCTAGTTATTATAAGTAATGCTTTTAAACTAATAAAGTACAGAACACCATTACCCATTATATAATGTTTTGGGAGCAAATATAATCGAAATGAAATAAGTTCCAACAGTTAAAACTAGCACAGTTGTAATCTAAATTTAAGGTACTCTTTTGGAACACACAACTTGTCAAATTATTATTATTATTTGCTGAACAAAAACATGGATAGATATATGTCATTTAGCAAGAAATTATGTTTTAGTGAATCATTAAAACGGTGATGATGATAGTATCTGTGTAGACCACACACTATAGTATAAATATCTTTGTAGACCACACATTATAGTAGCACCCACTTATTAAACTTCACAGTTTAGAAGTGCATTTCCAAGAAAAGCTATAAAGTAATTAAAAAAAAAAGATGTACATATAGTGCCTGTAGCAACTTCACATTTATGGAGAATTCTGCAGTTTTAAAGCAGATTTTTCACTCAGAATGCATATGTAGAATAAATGTTACTGTATTTGGTTGAATCATGTTTTTTTTCATCAATGTATATTATTTTATTATGCTTATAAATTGTTTTTGTTTCAACCTTTCAGAAACAGAACTTGGAGTGTTTGAAAAAAATTTTGTGAAATACACATACACACCTATACCTTATGTTCACAACAATTTCACACTAAAGCAATTCTTAGAAATCAATTCTATCAACACAAAATGTCCAATGCAGTAATCATATTAAAATTGTTTGTTGTGGTGCATTTTAGTCTAACATCTTATAAATAATTAGTAAATAATTATATTCATTATGTTACCTTTTCCATACAGATGTATTACGTACAAAAATCAGAAAGTCATACATAGATTATGTTGATCATATACAGTAAATACTTCTGGCCATATACTTGTATGTCTGTTTGATATCATAGTAATACGAGATTAAAAAGGCTGCTTTAATCAATAGATAAATTTACAGTGCTTATTATACACATGTATGCTATACTCAATCTTAATTTTGATTGTTCAGAAAAAATTTGTCTTATAACAATTTAGAGTAAAATTAATTTTATGAAAGTTAATTTTCACAATTCAGTATATGCCAAAATATCATGTCAAAACACACATGTAGCTTACCAGGATGGTCAAAATTAAATAGTCCTTTATTGGCAAGTATTTTTTCTTCATCAGTTAGCTCTTTATAGAAACTGTCTTGACTGACACACACAACTTGCCGTTGACGATGGTCAATAGAATCTTGTCCTAGTTTTTCCATTATCTTCCTACATACTGTAGACTGGGTAGAGAATTATATATAGATGTACTAAAAATAAAAATACTAAACCACTGTTTATAATAATGATGTTTATTGTCCTTCTATAAAAATACCATATAAGTTTGAAAAATTAAACTGAAGTACATGAAAACCCTTTTTAATATTAGTGTTTTATTTTCAATTTTTTGGATTAATGTGTTTAGGTTACAGTAAAAAAATGTGTAACATTATACATGCATGGTTTTAACTTTAAGACTTAAAAGTTTAGTCATGTTCAAGGACAAAATATCTAAACTATATTATTCATTTATTGTCTATTTCTTTAGTAGTTTAATTTGTGAAAGTTGGTATTGTCTGAAGCACCAACTGACAGTTGAAAAGGTGTTACAAGAACATACATCAGAAAGTCTGACCAACACTTTGCATGTTTACTATCACATTGATAAAGAATGTAATTCATCTATTCTAATGAAATATTTTAAATTACTTAACAAGAGTTATCAATGAATTAAAAACTATGCATAAAAGAAACTTTTATCACACTTAGATTGGAACTAAATACAAAAGAATATGTGCAAAAATCTTTACCAGTATGTACAAGTGTAAATGAGCTTTGTCCAATAAACTTTAAAAAACAAAACAGGAATTAGAAATAAAGTAAGGATGTGTGAAAAACTTGTATCTGTATACATATATATATGTATATATAAAAACTTGTGCTTTGCCAAATTAACTTGAAAAAACAACAACACTAAAAACAGGGAGAAAAAACAAACAAGTTCTTTTAATATCAATTTCACTTAAATGTATTTTGTTATAAATTTTCCATCTTTATCACAAATAATGGCAGGTGTAGGATATAATTAAATACAATTCCTTTAGCCCTTTTTGGACCTTTCTAAACATGTCAATATTCTTCCTATTGTACAAGGAAACAGCTCTGAACACAGTATTCTAAGAGAGGGCTTAGCAGAGTTTTATATAAAGAGAAATAAGACTCTTACTCTTTTAATTAAAAAGACTTTTGAAACGTCATCCTCTAGACTTGTGTTTTGTACAACAGGCAGTTGCCATCCATTCCAGTTTACTCATCATGAATACTCTGTCTAAACAATCTATCACAGAATGACATATTTTTAGCAATAAAAAATGGACATTTAAAATTCCTAACACATGGTAGAATTTATTGAATGATATAGGTGATGACAACTTACATGATGAAGAAGGCACCTAGAAATGCCACCCACGTATCACATTATTCTGTTTTAAGCATTACAATTTACAGTTTAAAAACCAAAAGCCAGCAAGTTTATCACAAATGTTAGGCCTATTGGTTTCCAATGTTTGCCAACTTATGGCACTTAAACTGTAACTTCTGATGTCTTGTACTGCATAAATAAAGTGTTTCACAAGAACTTTTCTTTCTCATTGTTCAATCCAACTGAATATTTTTAGTAATGAACACAAGGTTTTTTGGGCAGTGACTTGCGAGAGAAAAAAGATAGATCTGAAGTGCTACTTTTATACACCTGTGATTTTGAATCCAAAATGGACAAATCAAGAAGAATGTGGAAACCAAACATCTACAATTTATGTGATTTGATCACACGTGTTAAGCCTAATCAGTTATTTGTTAGAAAGTGAGTTGCAACTAAAAGTTGTTATACAAGTCATAACTTTGATATTTAGTTTCCTAGCCAAATAAATTAAAGAGGAAGGGGACAGGTCACAAATTACAATCTCCAATGCATATGTCATGTGAGTTCCTTTAGACATAAAGCAAAAGAAGAATATGTGGATATCCATCAGCTGAATACTATATATAAAAAGTCATTGGATTTAATCAAAAAAATCATGGAAGCGTTGAAGAAATTCAACATTAATGTACCAGTTATGTGATTCACTAGCTTTGATGGAACCAAATCAGCATCAGGAAAGAAACTAGCATTTCACAAATACATTTCCTCATTGCCTGTATGTTAACAATATAAATCAAAGTTTGGCAGTAGTTTTTGTATGCCTTATGAAAGGTTATCCAGACATATTGAGTCAATATGCACTTCTTCTCAGCATTTTAAACTTATTCATATACAGTTCTATTAAACATGATGTTTGTGAATGTTCAACAATCCGAGGTTTTGGAACCAGAAAAATTCACAAGGACACAACATGTTGGCTATCACATGGAGAATCATGCTGAAAAATTTTGTCTTGATTTTAACCAGTCCTCAACAGCCTTGATGTGCTCATAAATAAAGATACCTTGCCAGAAGTAAGAGGCATCCATGATGAGCTGCTTTAGCCCAATACACTTCTGGTGCTGTTACTGTTGTTGTGTATTTTAATATCTGTAAATTCTCTACATTCTTGCAAACTAATTCACTGAACTACACAATCTTACCAGATAGATTTCACAAACTTAAGTCTGAATTAAATAAAGTGAAAAACACCTATACAGTCAGAAATACTTCTCATGTGCTGATACATGCCTCATTATAGTAACTGACAGAATACACAGACTGAGCCAATGTTTTATCCATCATCTACTAGCTGATACCAAAAATGTACACGCATCTAAAATGATCAAAATATTCACAGACAAAACAGCAAATACTACCTTTCTAAGCTTATTATGGAATTAAAGTAATCCATATATACAACATTACCAATTTTCACAGCTTCCAAACTTTTAACAAACACCCATAACATCCAAGTAGAGAAAGCTACATAGATGAGTGATCTTACTGGACACTATTGGATGAATAGAGGTTGGGAAAGAGGCAATAGTTGAATGCATTATATATTATGAAGCAGCACATTCTGAATAAGTTCATTAAATTCAAAAGAAGGTCACTGAATATCCTAATAGCAAAAAGCATAAAGTAGTCATCTTAAGGAGCACAGGTGTATTGAAAACACAGGATGTCCCCGAGTAGAAAGCACACTTTGTAAATTGAGAAAAAGTTTATGACCTGTATCAGTGTATGTGACACTGGCTATTTACACACAATATTTTTACTCATTCCACCCTCAATTTATATTGAAAAAAGGGGGTTCAATACTATGAGAGATTGAAGGCAAGTCTTAATAAATCAAATCTGAACTGTATAAAAATATGTTATTTAAATGCTCCAAAGCACTTAGGTGATTATCAAGCTCAGCAATGTGCTGATAGGTGGGAACAATGTCCAATAGGAAATGAGGTCATCTCTCATTCTTGAATTTTTGTAGTTTTATAATACTACATTAATCACATATTGGCTTAGACTAAAACTTGCATGAATAAAATTCATTTACCATTTTTCATAAATTGACATTTATTTATGATAACCAAGAAACACAATTAATTTTAGCTTTCAGTTTCAGACAAAACTTCAGTTAATCCATTGTATAAAAATAAAACTAAATTAAACAAAAATAAATATGTAATTATATCTAAGTTTTCTTCTTTTTTTTTTTGTGCATGACTAGTGGCAACTAATGGCTCCATAAGATGAATTAAAAATTGACTATTTATAAATCCAGAATATTTGTAAAAAGATAAATCTTCAAGTTATGTTTATGTTAGTGTTACTAAACACTAATACCGAGTAATAGTAATAGTACTAAGTACTGAATTGGTACTTACAACCACCGTACCAGAATTTATAGTAATTATTATTACTCCATTTCTATAAACATTTATACTGAATCGAAAGTTTAGAATGCTGTGTATTATTTTTACTACATTAAGCCTAAGACTAAGTTCTGTACTAATCACAGTCACAATACTGGATAGCTTAAGTTACCTTGCCAGACGCGGTACCTCCTGCAACACCAATTAAAAAAGGAGTCCTGGTTTCAAATCCATTAAAATTATGAATCTTTTGTCCTGTACCAGTAGCATTAAGCGCAGCCATGTCACAAAAAACACACTAAAATACAATACTATTAAATAATTGAAATTAATTTCAACAAAACGACTAGTCACGTTCCACACTTATAATTTTATCTCACTCTTCCAAGTTCAAGTCTAGATCCCCCTGGAGAGAGATTATTTCATGTTAAACATTTTTTCTTCAAATATATTATTTAGTTGTTGTGAATCTTAAGTTAATAATAATGACAAAAAAGAAGGACCATGAAAGCTTTTTTAAATTCAACATGCTCCATATTAAAATAAAAAGAAAGAAGACAAAAGTGAAAGTTGGGAAAATAATAATAATAATTAGCTAATGTAGATAAAATTAACTAAAAATGAAACATGATTTACAAATACGAGAATCAGTAAGATGCATAGAATATTGTTACGACAGCGGAAGTCGCGCGACGCTGGGAGCATGCGCGCTGGAGTTTCTAGAAGGATCGTGACTTAGCGGGCAACCTCATGAACGTCCCAGCGTTTGCTAGACGCCCTATTTTTTAGTATATAAGCCGGAGATAGATTGAAGAGAAGTAATCAGTCAAGCGAGCAGTAGCCACCGTAAGTAACATGTGTGAATCGCTGTGAATTATAGCGTGTGCTTATAAAAGTAGTTAAGTTTAAAGTGACTGTGGAAATTAAGTGTATTACAAAGTTTGTAACGAGAAAGAATAAACTAGTTTAATTAAGAAAGGACTTGTATCGCTGAAGTTTCTCGGAAAGAATTTCTTCGGGAAATTAACAATCAAGCAGATACATAACAATGCTTTCTTTGTTTTAAAGCAAAGCCACATTTGGCTATCTGCTATGTCCAGCACAGAGATTCAAATTCCGGATTTTAGTGTTGTGACTCCGTAAACTTACCGCTGTCCCACCAGAGGAACCTCAATAGCACAGTGGTATGTCTTCGGACTCATAACGCTAGAAACTGGGTTTCGATACCCGTGGTGGGAAGAGCACAGGTAGCCCATTGTGTATCTTTGTGCTTAATTCCAAACTTATACAAGTCAGGACAAAAATAAAGAATAAAAAAATTATTGTAGGAACCTTATTGTATTCTTTAACTGTAAAGTTTTTGTTTGTTTGTTTTGTTATCAGAAGAATGTCTCTGGTTTTCTCGTTAAGTACAAATTTACAAAATGAACTATCTGTGTTATTACAGAATTAAGAAAAAAACAAAGACAATTGTACATTTCACAAATACTTCATATATTAACAATCATGGTTTCTCCAGTAAAGACATCATCGGGTACAGACTGAAATGATTGTAAACAGGTTTTCATATGTTTAACCAAAGAACATATATAAACTTGTTTACAAACTATTTCAGTCTGTACCTGATGATGTCTTTATTGGCGAACCCGTGGTCGTTATAAATGAAGTATTTGTGAAACGTACAACTGTCTTTGATTTTTCATTGTTCTTTTCCCTCAATTCTGTAATTATGGACTTTCACCAAGTATCAACGGTTTCAAGTATCAGTTATCTGTGCTATGACCATTGCGGGTATCGAACCCCATTTTGGAGGGTTATAAGTCCTCAGACTTACCGCTGAGCCACGAAGAGGGGGGGGGGTCTAGTTGAGAGCTCCATGTCAGAATTTTAAAACTATCCTACCTGAATTCTAATTATAAGAGAAAATTTTCTATGTATTATTGAATTATCATTACATTGCATTCAATTACTGATGTGTCATTTTGTTAACAAAGATGGCCTGGCAGTTAACATACACTTAACCATAAATATCCATGACTTTGACAGCTGTAATATGTGGTAATATCATATGTTTTCTACATGCTTTAGTGATAAAGAGACTTTAAATTTTTTGGTTATTCAGTTACCGAATTGTATTGGCCAAATTACATTGTTCTAGTTGTTTCGTTTCTTTGTTTTATGTAAAATATGATATTTCTTCTTCCCGAGCGGATATTGTAGTAATATACATCATCCTTGTTAAAAGGACTGACACTGTAATATCCTTTGCTGGACGATTATGAAGTTGCCTGAATGTAACAGCCGAAAATAGCTATGAGAAAATAAAGATCACTAGTTGACGTTGTCGACAGAACAACAAAAAAAAAGCAAGTTTAACTTGAGTTCAGTCCTGCTTCCTTTAGCCAGTTTTTAATACTAGATCATCAAGTGGAGGCTTATTTCAAGAATGTGTTTAGTTTTACGGTAGAAAGGAAAGCTGTGGAACTAAACGCGGTCTACTAAAAAGGGCTGTCATTTCTTCTGCGTAGGTTGGTTGATTGGTTTGAATTTCGCGCAAAGCTGCACGAGGGCTGTCTGCGCTAGCCGTCCCTAATATAGAAGGGAAAAACTAGAGTGAAGGCAGCTAGTCATCACCACCCACCAACGAATAGTGGGATTGACTGTCACATTATAATACCCATATGGCTGAAAGGGCAAGAATGTTTGGTGGGACGGGGATTCAAATCCACGACCCGTAGATTGCGAGAGGAGCGCCCTAACCACCTGGCCATGTCAGGCCATTCTGCATAGGTATGCACATTGTGTTTTCGTTTATTCGTTATGATAGATTTTATTAACATATTCAATTTTTAAGACCTGTTATTTTACACTTATAAGGATTCAGTCACGTTTTCTATTGCAAAACACTCCCTTTTTTCTTGATCGAATCTGATACTTATTAGGAGGTTGGTTTTACCTGAAAATACCATAAATAAATAGGAAGAAAAAATACTTGTGCCATGTCATCAGGGTTTATTGTGGAGTTTCTCAAACGATAGTATTTTTACTAGCCCTTGTTTGATCTCTTGAGTTGAAAGTGTTTCAGGGAATGCTTCTAATTTATAATACCATTTTCTGGATGTAAAAGTACTCGTGACCAAGAGAGAGGGCTTACAAGCAAATAGAAACAGTCATATTGGAGAAATGTCGATTCTAGGATAATATATCTTTCCTGGACATAAGACTTTCATTGATGTTCCTAAGGTCCATGATATTGATCGGCCTGCAAGTTCTGAATCAGGAAGCTTTGCTCATGTCTAGTGTACCCAGACCACTAGAACAGATGCTATCTCTGAGAACTGATCTTGGTAGAATGGAAACATAAACAAGTGAGGTTTGTCGGTATGGTTGGGCACCTGGCGAGTTCGAGACTGCATGTGGAGATGTTTATCAAACTCCATTGCCAGTCATATAACAGCAGCCTCATCTCTGGTCAACACCACTTGTAAATAGTAGACAGAAGTTGGATGCACCACTAATGGATGGTTTCTGCCAGTCAGAGTTGTCTTCCTAACCAGTGAGGCAAGATCCCTCACAAATGAAAACTGTGACCCACCGGGTGAGGTACCTTTCAGAGCAGAAATGTTCTCTGTCACATCAACAGCAGCTTGTAATAACTGGTGTTGTGCAGGGCTGTATAATTAGCCTACACAAACTACTCATTGTCCTTTAGCCTAGACCATGGACTGACTGCCCAGTGCTGTGTAAAAGAACCTGTGAGAGGCTTTCACCAGAAATCAAGAATATCAGTGGCATTCAGTGGTATTACCAGAGGAGGGCGCTTTGGCCTGGCACACAGGGCTTTGTGAGCGAGGTCAAGCAGATCACATCCCTAATATTCAAAGGGACGGCATAGGAGGAACTGGATTGGTTCTTGATATGTTTGAGGCAAGTAAATACATGGAATAGATGGATTCAGAAGAGGACTGTGTAATGCTTTATCCTGAGCTTAGATGGTCCATCCCTCGATAGTATTGAACCCAAGAATGAAGAAAATAAGACAACTGGGAGCCCTCATATACAAGTTGCATCACTAATTCAACCTTGTGGAAAATCAGACAATCCATTAAGCCGAGTTTAAAGCATATACGAGGATCAGCACCAAGGAATTGATCACCTATGACAATCTGTACCAATAGCACAGGAGAGCATATTTGGCAATAACCTCTACAAATTGGAAGGGCATCTTGATTGATAAGTTCATTGAGGAATTTCCCAATGAGTTTATGCACCAGCACCTGGAAGTGAGGGACATCATCATTCTCATGGAAGCCATGTTCATTGTAACACACTTTGAAGGAACATTTCAAATTGGCATTTGTAGACGAAAAAGCTTGCATCTGCAGTGGCAGCTGTAATAGCAATTTCATCAACAGATGATGAGACTCAGGTACCAGCACTGAAGTAGATTAAATCCAATAAGAAGGTTGTAAAGCTACACAATGGGCTATCTGTGCTCTGCCCACCATGGGTATCAAAACCCGGATTCTAGCATTGTAAGTCCACAGATATATCACTGGGAGGCAAACACAAGACAATTGCAACCAAAAATACAGACGTAATACTGCATGGGAGCAAACTAGCCAAGAAGACTCACAAGGATATGACTGGTCTATGTTGTAGGAACCATAATGGAAATAATGACATCAGTACCAAGATGTTTTTTTTCTTTTTAACAACAACAAAAAATTTTTGGCTAGTGATTTTATTGTTTAACAAGCTTAACTTGAAACATAACTGGGTCATACTTTTCTTCTCAAAGTATTAAGTTACTAATAATAGAAAGAGATGACAAAGTGATAATTTGTTTGTTTTATTGGATTTGGCACAAAGCTAAACCAGGGCTATCTACATTAGTCATCTCTAAATTTGAGGTAATAAACTAGAGAAAAGGAAGTCAGTCAACTCCTGTCACACCAAATTGTGGGATTTAATCAGGATTCTTATAATGCACCCACGGCTCCAAAGTGCAGAATATGTTTTGTTTTGTTTTTGGTGGTGGTGAAATGCAAACCATAGAAGTTCAGCACACTAACTAACAGATTTCCCTCAGCCTGAGAAAGTGATAAAATAGATAGTGCAATAACATATGGAATGCTTGTTATCTAATAAGAGATGAATTTCAAAACTGAAAATAATAATAATGCAGTAAAGGGTAAAAGGATTGTACAAAGCTTTGATTACTGATATTTAGTAACATTCCAAACAGAAATGAATTGTACACTCTGCAGGACTAAAGTCATTCACTTTTAAAAACAAGAGTGTGAGACTAAGGAATTTACTATTAATTTCACGCATTATGACTAACCAAATGAAATGTTAGAAAAAATGTTGTGGATGATTCCAAAGGAAAGCTCACTGAAACAGTCTGTAGGATTTCAACACACTCAAAGCCAGTTTTTATCCTTCAAATACTTATCAAGCCTTCCCTTGAACTCCCTGAAGGCAACCTATCGAAGAACCAACCACCCTGTTAGAAGAATAAAGCCATCTTAGTTAAAGATGACTCTGACCCTGAAACAATTTATATTTGTGTCCCATAGTCCTACAGTTCTCACAATTAAATATAAAGAATTTTCCCCTAGTGAAACTATGCTAATTATTCAACAAATTTAAAACTTTGTTAAATGACTTTGCAAAACATATTTTATAAGACTTTCAAAAGCTTTTTCTACCACTGATGGTAGGTCTATAATTACTGCGATAATTTTCATTACCTCCCTTGAAAGGGGGGCTAACATTATTCGATTTCCAACCTTCTTGTACCTGCCCAACATTCAAGAACTTACAAAATACAATAGCAGATGACTTATATATCCAATCCTTAGCCTCCTTTAAAACACTTAGTGGCATATTATCTGGCCCAGAAGCTTCATCATTCTTTAAACTTCCCAATTTTCTCAAAATAAGTTCAAAATTAATGTGATCATGTTGTTTCTATTTATCAACTGTTCAGGAGGAGGAATATTGCTTAAACCTTCATTAGTAAATGTTGAAGAGAGAGAGAGTAGAATATAATAACTCAGCAGCCTCATAAACATCAGATGTGAGCCTTCCTTTATCATCCCTCAAAGGCCATACTCCCATTCTGCTTCCCTTAACTTATTTAAATAAATTCTTACTATTAATTTTTACATTTTCAGACAACCTTTTCATATAGTTTTAAAAGTTTTCCACATTTGATCAATATCTCCAATTAATTCATTTGCCCAAATCACAAAAGATAATTCTTCTCATCCATTAAAAATTTGCTTTTTTAAAACTTGAAATCAAAATCTCATTATTCTTTATTTTCATACACAGTAAAACATCAAATCTATTGGAGCAATAATCACTTGCACCCAAATATTCCCCAATCTCTACCATATCAATCATTTCTATAATAGAAGTTAACAATAAATCTAAAAAGCATTGTTTGTAGTAGGTTTTCTGACCAACTGGTGTATAAAACCATCCTGAACAATTTCTAAAAACCTTTCTCTCTCACAACTTAACATTTCTCAATTTGTATGCCTGAAATTAAAATCCCCCCTCATAATTATGACCTCATTAACAACTGGATTCTTTATCTCACTGTAGCTTCTCATTAATTTTATCAGTTTGATCTGGTGGTTTGTAAAAATTCTTACTAACAGCCCTGTACATTTATAACCACTAACAGAAACTGATATAAATTTAACTTCACTGCTATTAGCTTTGATATCCTCAACTTGAACAGGATGTAACTTGCATTTTACACATAAAACTACTCCCCCCCCCCTCTTTGTCCTTTACCCCTATTAAATAACCTATAACTAGGTTAAATATTTATTATTTTAATACTAGACATATAAGAAATAAAAGAGATGACTTGGAACACTAGTTGACATGGAGGATTTTTATGTAATGCAACAATTAACTGAAACCTGTTTAAAAGTAGATAATTTTGATGGCAGAAATAGGATGAATAGGGAGAAACGAATTACATTATGCTCTCCAGTGGAAGAGGTGAAGGATATAACTGACAGAACAAGTGATATAGTAAAGGGTACTAGCAGTAATGCAGTCTTTGTTATGCTCATAGGGACTAATAATTTAGGGTAGGTTAGGTCTAGGTCAGAGGAGCTAATTGAAAGAGGCTTTTAAAAAAGAGAGATATTGCCCAGATTTAATTGTGGGGATGAAATTATAAGTAGGGTTTAATTCTAGGTTAAGTTTGATATGTAAGGATGAGCAGGTTGACTGGTAGGAGATATAAGATCAGTTCAATGGGAAGAGGTAGTTTTTTTTGGAATAGACAGTTTGCATTTAAATAAGGTTGGATCTGGCTTGTCTGCATGGGCTATAAACTCATTTGTAAGGACAGCTTTAAACTATTACTAGATAGTGGTGAGGGCCAAAATAATGAAGAAAAAATATGATTTAGAGGAACAAAATACACAAGTAGTTTTAATGGACAGACAATCCTATCCATGTGGCGTACTAAAGTATCATCTATAACTATAACTTCTTTGTTTTTCATTTCTATATGTATCTTTCCTTTCCCTTCCTTAGTTCCTCATCTGTAAAAACTGAAATAAGTTCTTCAACAAAACCTGCTCATTACAATTTATTCCACTCTTTCTAGCTTTGTTGATATTATTAGTTTCTAATTTCTTAAAAAGTCATTATTAACTGCTCCATTCTTTATGCGCAAAAACTTGAAGTTCCTTTTGAAATCCTGCTGCCATTTCCTACAATTTACCCTTCTCATTATTCGTTGCCTCTACTTATTTAATATAGCTTCAAATTTCTCCTCCAACCTTCCAGACATATATTACAGTAAGAATTTTGAAATATAACAAAATATCAAATTGGATTGAATATGTACATTAAACTAGATGCACCATTGGGTCTCCAAAAGTGTTCTGTTTCAAAAGTAAATAAAAACAAAGTTAAGAGTAACAAATATTTGTATTTCTTGCTTTTGAAGTTTATGTGTCATGTTTTTTTTTAGCCTACAGAGTGCATAATTCTTCTCCTGATTCATGGCATGCACACGTTTTACTGATGTCATGACAGTACAAAATGTAACACTAAGCATCCTTTATGTAATGTCATTATTTTAGTGTCTACTGACTGATGGACAACACATTACCATATAGTGGTGAAAACAGGTGACCTTCAGCCCCCTTTTGAGGAAATAAAAATGCTTAGTATTAAGAATACACGGCACAATTACATTAGACTTCTAGTAGCAGACCAATTAAATTTTCAAAAGTTTAGTTTATGCATTGTATATAAATTTTCTAAAATAAGCTTTTTTTTCTCTCAAATAAATACTATCTCATGAATTTGTACAGAAAATCTGTTTGAATTGGGCAGTTTCAGAGAATTATGTTAGTTTACTTAAGCTGTAATATGCAAGTCTTGTCACTATAAGTTGGCTGAGAAAAAGTTTCAATGGTGTAAAGGCACTATTAATTAATAGGAGTTTATGGCAGTTTTATTATCTTACATAGCCTCTAATTTAATGCACACAAGTTTCTTCTTTGTTTAATAAAGATACAATCAAATATAAAAACCTAATGAGATATTTTTTTATAATGTGAAATGACTTTCAATTTTATGAATGCTTTATCTATAACAAATAAAACAACAACAATAAAGAATAAGTTTTTCTGAAGCTTTATTTAGTTCAGTTTAAAAACCCTCTTTCCAATTTTCAAGTACTAATTAACAATAAAAAACATTCATATGAAAATACACCAAGTAAGACATTGATATTAGTATACATAAAACAATAACTCAACTTAAATCATAAAATTCATAAAGCATTCATCTAAAAATAAATGGATAAATGGTTTAGTGTATACAAATCTTTGTAATGCTTGGTGGTTTTTACACATCAAGAAATTAGAACAATGCACTTCTTTAAATCATCTACATTATTTGATGAGGGTGCACAAAACTAATAACTAGCATATAAACTATATATATTTGGATGTAAGTTCTACCCTGTTATATAGTTATGTCCTCAAATACTCAATATCTCAAATTAGACTATTAAGTACAATCACACATAGGTATGTTTTCTGATGTGGTTATACTGTTAGCTCTTTTCATTTATATTTACATACAACTAATAAAGTATGTACTTAATACCCAGTAACACTTAATAATTATGTATAGTGGTCTTCACAGTTGAAGACTGTGCATCTTGTTTTTACAACCTTTTGGACAATCTGAAATTGATTTCTATTTAAGAAACATACAGTTGCTAATTCAACATGGTTAGTGACAATATCAACCAGACCCTTAGTGATCACTTTAGCATTAGAAATTCTTATACAAGAGCTAAATCTTTATTTAAAACTTTATTTGTAATCTTCATTGATATATTATATGTTTTCAATGTAAAATGCATTATTTTTCATACCATGTTAGACTGTAATCACCATACACTTACAAACTTACTCTGTTGATAGCCAAAAATTGCAATTAAAAAAAAAACACTCAAAAGTTCAAGTGGTTTCAAAAAGTGGCCCCTTTGAAAGTATTTTACCCTTTAGAATCAATTCACTTTGAACTGTCATACTTTTTATTAATTCACAATGCTATTTTAATCAAAATGATTAAAACTAAAAACATCTTAATATTCTACAGCACTGCCTCACAAAAACAGAAAATCACATGCTGATATGTATAAAAGCAAAAAACAAATTTTGAAAGATATTATATCTAAAGTTACTGGAATACAAAATAGTCACATCTTTTACAGATATCTTTAGTTTGTACATTAATCCTTATTATTATAATATTGATTCAGGGGTAGGTACATATGTTCACATTTGAATCAAAAATGATTTGCAAATAGAGCCAAACTCTTTTTAATATGTGAGTATAGACGTAAACATACAGACAGACAACTAACAACAGACATATTTTTACATCCTCTACCATTTAAAAAAAAAAAAAGAGTTAAAGATATTGAATGATGCTTTTTAAATCCATCTAAAACATTTAATATTTAGTTAACAATTACATTTTTCATTTCTGAAACTTACACAAACACTGTATTTTAGTCTGAAAGTGAAAGAAAACTCACAAGTTACAGTAATATGATACCATGCCAAACGCATGTTTCTCAACCTTACTGACTTATAAATATGATTTCCACAGTAATTTCTGAACTTGCAACATGAATATGTTCTATATATTCTATGTTCAGTTCAGTTTATTCCAGGCCATTGTTTCAATTCTATCTTTTCTTAAGTTAAAACATTAACTGCTCACTCTCTTCTCCTTTTTCCACGGTCTCTATCATGGTCTCGACTTTCATCAACTGGTCGTTTGCTGGCACGTTTAGCCTCTGTTAAGAACTTATCTAAACCAAAAGGATCCTCCTCTTCTTGTTTTTCAAAAGCTACAGGCCCCTCTCTACGCACACTGCGATCAGTCCCAGAAAACTCTTTATCTGGAACAAAGCGAGAAGTTTTCATCAATTTATCCAAATCTTCACCATACAGATCTTTATCTTGATTACGTGGACGATAAATACTCTGACCAACATTTTGACCAGAACGCCATGGTTTGTCATAAACTGTATAATCTTCCTCTTCACCAAAACCACTATCCATGCCTTTTGACTGATTGAACAATCGTTGGTCAAACTGCAATTCACCATTAGTTTGTCTAGCATTAGGCATTCCGAGGGCAATTTGTTCACTAATATCTCTCTCTCGTTGTCGTTCAAGTTTGGAACGCTTGTCAGGAGCTGCTCTTGCCAAATTTTTCTCTCTCTGTCTTTCTCTGTGGCGTTCATATCGTAACTGATCACGCTCAGCAACTTCATCATCTTTTTCAGCAACAGCTTGAGTGCGTATACCTGCCCGTTCTTCACGAGCTTTCTGGGCTAGCTGTCTGAGATGTTCTTCTTTTTTCTCCTTTTCTTTTTGAGCAAGTTTCTTTTCTAACTGAGCTCGCATTTCTACAGCTTCTCTTGCTTTCCTGTCAGCAATGTAAAGAGCTTCAGCCAATTTTGCAAAATTTTCATTAATATGAACCTGCTGCAAACCTCTTCCATCTGCAGCTAAACGTTTATCTAAAGGTATGGTGTAACCTTTAGCATTCTTCCAGTTAGAAATGCATGGTGGTATACGCCATTCTTGTTGCTCTTTCACTGTAACTTTTCTCGTGGGGGAGTGCATAACTGGAGCTGGAGGTGAGGGTGGTCCACGTGGAATCTTCTTATTAATTTTAAACCGTGGTGGTTCCATAGGATCCTTTTGGACTTCTACCATTCGTATAATTCTTTGTTTAGCTCCAGAATTGAAAGCAACACCTTGCTGTGAAGGGGTATACCTGATATACTGTGCTGGTGCTGTTTTCTCTGCTGCACGAACTGGCATAGCAGCAGAAATTTTAGAACTTGTTAATTTTTCAAGAGCTTGCCTTGTACTTTCAGTTGTCTCTTCAACTTCTTTTTCTGATGGCTTTTGAAGTTCTGGATCACATTCATTTGTTATTTCTGAAGGTAAAAGATCTTGGTATTTGTGGTAAAGTAACTTATCTTTACTATGCCCATGTCGAACTATAGCATCATACTTTATTTTACCTTGAGCATCAAGCTGGACTGGCAATGCATTTGATGTTGTCTTGTCCTTTTTGCGTCCCATACCCAAAGGATACTGAGCCACAGGAATTTCAGGAAAGGCTCCACCATCGCCAAAATCCTCATCACTTCTTGGCACCCAGCCTTTCCTACGGCCATAGATTGGAGCAGTTCGTGATGTAGAAACAAGCTGGGAAGAAGTAGATACATTTCTTCTTCCTCTTTCTGGGTCAATGCGATCATAAACAGTCTGAGTCGGCGGTGGTAATATTGAAGATAACGACGCCATTTTCTCTATAATATAACAATCAATATAGTGCCCTCTCACGGATAACAAGAAATTTTGAATTAAAACAAAAATAAACAAACAAAAACGATGAAACCCTAACGCTTTCGTTATTTTTCAATGTGATTTTCAAAACTTTTTTGATCCTAAGTGTTTTTTATCATCGTAAAATTAAGAAAATGTCATATACCAGGATCCTTGTGATAAAAGCTGATTTTGATGAAAAATGTTCAAGAAAATTTTAAATATTATTTTGGATACACGAAATAACAAAGCTGTATGTTGTTTTTTTATACATAACAAACATCAACTGTGATATCATTTATGAGTCCCATCCTTTTTCTTCCTTGGGTTTATTGACAATATTTTTCATAAAACATCAGCAGCAGCTCCTAAAAAGAAGGTTTGTTTGTTTGAAGTTAAGCACAAAGCTACATAATAGGCTATCTCTGCTAGGCCCACCACGTGTATCAAAACCTGATTTCTATTGTTGTAAGTCCGCAGACATATCACTGTGCCAGTAGGGACCTTAAAAAGAGGGCTTGGCAAGGCATAGTAGTTTGGGTGCTCGACTCGCAATTAGAGGTTCGTGAATTCGAATCCCTGTCACACCAAACATGCTCACATTTTCAACCGTGGGAGCGTTATAATGTCACAATCAATCCCACTATTCGTTGGTGAAAGAGTAGCCCAATAGTTGGTGCTGGGTGATGTTGACTAGTTGCCTTCCTTCTGGTCTATCACCGCTTAATTACGGACTGCTGGCGCAGATAGATCTCGTGTAGCTTTGCGAAAAATTCAAAATAAAACAAACAAGAGGCATAAGTAAACCTTAAATACACTTTCATGACCATACCGCTAATTATTGCCAGGCTACTTTTTCGTTTATTTGTTGATAATTAAAAAGTTACATTTTCACCATGAAATTAATGATATACACAGGAATTTGAAATATGAGTGTATTAATAGACAGAGCTGTACGCAACCTTAAATACACTTTCATGACCCTACCACTAATTATTGCCAGGCACTTTTTCGTTTATTTGTTGATAATTAAAAAGTTACATTTTCACCATGAAATTAATGATATATACAGGAATTTGAAATATGAGTGTATTAATAGACAGAGCTGTACGCATCGTCACCATAAATAGCACGCACTACGAAGCGCCGCTATGTTTCTAGGGGCGACTAGTGGATGGACGATTCATTTGGAAATCTATAGCGATTGCAGGTAGCGTCACTCCAAAGCGCTATTCGCTACATTTTAAATAGTCAATATAAATCATAATCATTAGTATATTGTATATAACTATATTTTCTCGAACTGTATAATTATGTAGTTTTTTGTATATATATGTATATATATATATATATAATTTATTATCTATATATTGCTTTGGACTTAATTACTTTCGTTTATGCTTATTTGGTTTGTTTTGTTTTGAATTTCTCACAAAGCTACACGAGGGCCATCTGCGCTAGCCGTCCCTAATTTAGCAGTGAAAGGCTATAGGGAAGGCAACTAGTCAACACCAACCACCGCCAACTCTTGGGCTACTCTTTTACCAACGAATAGTGGTATTGACTGCATATTATAACGCCCTTACGGCTGAAAGGGCGAGCATGTTTGGTGTGACGGTAGCTATAATAGTCCCAAAAACTTTTAGGTAGGAGATACTTCGAGCTTTGCATGACTTAAGGGCTGAAGATCAGTAGGGAATGTCACACACCATCATTGTCATGATATAAAAAACTGTTTTGGTTTAGATATTCGTGATTAATTTATTTTTGTGAGTGAATATTTCATTATTTTTTAGTTTTTGTCATAATAAGAGTTAAAAGCAGAGGATTGTAGGAAGTTTTCTTAATACATTGACGTCGAGAATATAAAAGGCGGGAAGATGATTAAGTGATAAAGATATAAATAGTGCGAGACGAGCAAAAACAGCAGACAGACAATAGCAGAAGAGAGTAAAGTTTCGGGCAAGGAAAAGTTCGGCATGAAGTTAAGTACTGTAGAGGTGATAGGCCTAATGTTTAATATGTTAGAGTAAGAGTAACAGTGGAAAATGAGATAAGAAAAATTTATTCCGTCAAAGCGTGGTTCTAAAGTAATTGAATCAGCCTGAGTGCACTTTGACAAAATGAACAAAGGATATTTAGAAGAAAGAAACCAAACGATTATTGGTAACTCGCACCACAATTGTAAGTGAATCACACACACAATACTAGTGCGATAATAATAGAGAAGACAGTTCAGTTTGTCAACTGAAGTTCTAAAGTAATGGAATAGGCCTAAGTGAACTTTTGACAAGGAGAGAACTACATATATAGTGTTTATGATACTCCTATAATATCTAGTGTTGAAGAGTTTGTTGTACATAGGTTTAACTTGTTCCGAATATATATGTATATATTATTTTGAAAACAAACGAAGTGCGGGCTGTTTATTTATCTTTGAATTTATCGCTAACAGTAACAGACATCTACTGTACTATAAAAGAATCCTAAGCCCAACAACAACATAGTAAATATTTATGCTATTAAGAAATATAACTAAAGCCTTTTTATTTTGACAATTGGCGAAAAAGAAAGTATTGAAAATTTAAATTCTGACGATCATAAACTTGCAGAAGCAGTTTTTCTGATCGCACTTGTTTAAAAACTTTAAATAATGATGTAGACTATGTACCACCTGTGCTACCCAGAGTAAAAATTGACTACAACAGGAAAAACTTGGACAGCAAGTTGAGAGTTTGGCCCCAAGTAGAATCAACTTCAAAACAGCTAATTAATCAATGTGTATGGTTGTTATCAATTACTTCTGCAAATTGATAGGTTGATTATTGAACAACACGATTTGAAGCACCTGGAGTGATCCTCGTGAATCAAAAAGCCATATTCAATAGTCAGTTGTGTTGAGTGTTGGATTTGATGAAAATAAAGTGATATCACCCTAACTCTGGTGGTTTAGCCTAGTGGGTCATGCAAACTGTAAAGTACATGCTTGCCAAGTTTTTGAACCATGACCAAACCAATTGGGATGTGTACCTACTTTGCATCACGAATTCACATTGTGCAATAATTGACCGATTATTCTCAGCATCTCATTATCATTGATGAAAAGTACATCTTTCACCTAATGGATGAGATGTCTGGTTCTTTATCCAGTGCTAATACACTACAGAATTATATGGAGTGGCTGCATTTTTCAATAGTTGAGGTACACAAACTTGTGCATCAGCCTAGTGATGAAGTGGCTTTATGCCAAAGAGAGATGTTACATCAATATAACAGAATGAAAGTTTGAGACAGGTGACTGGTTTTAGTTATAATATGCACCACAGAGTATAGGAATCTCAGTTCTGAGTAGAAGGATCCATATTTTGTATGTCAACAGCTAAATGAGGTGAAATTTGAGATGCAGTGTATTCAGGGAGTTTACAAGTTCAATGTCAGAAAACTGTCAGTGTTAGTAGTGAAAGTTATTGCGTTTATTTTGCTATTCAGTCATTCTGCGAGTTATGCGTTTGTTTATCAAAAAAAGGCTAAGTAACTTAGGCATAGGTACCATTAGTCTTGCAATTTCTGTTAAAATGTTGCATTTGAAGGTAAGCGTACAAATGTACGGGGCAGTAGCATTGGATTAACAAATTTCAGTCTTTAGATAACAAAATAGACAGACAGGGATGAGGAAGATGTTATTTTTACAGAAAATTCTTTAGTACATCATGTGAATAGGATAGTCTGTAAGGTAAATAGGGAGAAATGATCTAAATTATGCCATCCAGGGGAAAGAGTGGAGGATAAAACCGACAGAGCAAATAATATAGTAAAGGGTGCTAGCAGTGATTCAGTCTTTGTCGTGAACCTAAGGTCTAATTATGTAGGGAAGGGTAGGTCAGAAGAGCTTATTGTTGTGTACATGGCATTAATAAAGACAGTAAAAAAGTGGCCATGATAACTTAATTCTGTCTTGGATTCTGCAGACTTAATTGTGGGGATGAATTTATAAGTAGGTCACTAGGGTTGAAAGCTATGCTTTGTTTAGTTGTAAGGACGAGATGGTTGGATTTGTGGGATCAGCTCAGTGGGAAAAGAAATAATTTTGAAATGGATGGTTTACATTTAAATATGATAGAAGTTGGCATATTTGCAAGAGCTATTAACTCAACTGTAAAGGATACTTTAACCTAGGACTACATAGTGGAGATGGTCAGAGTAATGAAGTAAAAATAAGATGTAGAAAGGGGGTATAATGTGGGAACAAGATACAAAGACAGTTCTAATGGTAGTTGAAACTTATCATTGTAATATTACAAGAATAAGAAATAAAATGGATGACTTTAGACCACTGGTCTGAAGAAAAGATTGATAAAATGGGAATAACTGAAACCTAGCAATATGTTGACTATTTTGACAGGAACTTCTTTGAAATACAGTGTTGTAGGTTATTTAATAGAGATAAAGGGCTAAAGAGAGTGGGGAGGAATTGGCTTCATATGTAAAATGCAAGTATATCAAAGTTAATAGCAATGAAGTTGATTCAATTTAGATTTCTGTTAGTGATTATAAGAGGAAAGGCTTTTAGTTAGAATTTACTACAGACCATCAGATGAAACTGATGAAATTAATGAGAAACTCTACAGTGAAATAATTCAACGTTTAATGAGATTATAATTATGGGAGATTTTAATTTCAGGAATATAGATTGAGAAATGTTAGAGCCAAATCATAAAGACAGAAATTTAAAACTTGGTTTTCTTCAACAATAGGTTAGGGAGCCTATTAAAAACAATACTATTTTAGAATTATAGTTAATTTCTAATAAAGAAATGCTTGATAGGGTGGATTAGATAATGAAAAAAAAGAAATTTTAGTTCTAAATTTCAAAAAAATCAAATTATGAAGAGATGAGACAAGAATATTTTGGTGTGAACTGGTCAACTCAATTAATTTGAAATACTGATTGAATGTGCAAAAATTTTGGAAATAAATTCATAAATATTCAAGATATATTTTTTTTATAAAAAAAAAAGGGTGTTGCAAATAAAAAAAATACGGGTTGGCTCACAAAAGGCATGAAGGAAATGTCATTCCTTGCTTTGAGATATTGGATAATACTTGATAGCAAAAAATTGGTCTAATGTCTTGCAATAATTGCTCAATCTACCTAGTACATGGAAATGGCATTTCTCTGGAGCAAGTGACATGATACTTATCAGATACACAACTAAGACATTATAAGAAGTTTAAATTGACTGCAATGATGGAAGATTTGGAGGGTTATAGAAGACCAAAAGAGTTGGTCAAATGGGAAATTAAGAAATAAAAACAATTATATGAAAGAAGGGTTAACTGAAAAATGTAAAATTTAATAGGAAGGATTTCTTAAAATACATTAAAGATAAGCAAAATATTAGGATAAAAGATGATGATACTGGAAGGCTAATATGTGGTGATTATGGGATGGCTGGGTTATTAAATTCTTTTTTTCTTTAGTTTTTACTAATGAAGATTTCAACAAAATGATCACATTAATTCTGAGCTTAAAGAAAAATTTAAAAGCTTAAAGAATGATAAAGCTCCTTGGCCAGATAATATGATCCCAAGGGTTTTTTAAAGAAATCTATATCTGCTTTTTTTGAGTCTCGAGTCTGCTTATGAATATTGGGGCACCTTAGATGCTCACTGGCGATTCTTGGGCAGATTTATCTTATGGTGCTCATCTCTCCAGATTTCAAGTCAAATGTCCTAACCACCAAGCTATGCAAGGCTCTAAATCTGCTACAAGAGAGGTTTTATTTCATTAAAGTAATTATATTCTTTTTATTAAGATGAATAATCAAAAGAGGAAACAAAATGCAAATTATATATTAATAATACTTATGAAATGTTAAATTTGAAAGGCATCAACATTCTAGTTAATTCTTAGACAGATTGTTACAATTACCATGGAGTAAGAAATCACCTCATGAAAAATAAAAAAATAAGCCATTTTATTTTCCAAGGAATGTTTTCTCAGCATATTATAGATTCAATATTTTTTTTACATTTTTGCCATTTGATAATATACAATAATAATAATCATTATTGTTCTGGTTTTTAATGTCCCTTTCTCACTCCAAATCCACCACACTATCTTTAATTATCCAAAATAACTAATTTGTAGACCAATTAGTTCTTGCATAAAGATTAACGTTTATTTATATTTGAGATATTCAGTTCCTATCCAAACATTCTGCAGCACCCTCATCCAGTATCCAGTGTAGCTTTCCTTCCCTAGGTTTCACTAATGCTGCTGGCAGAGGATATGCTTCATTTCCTTCAAGAATTCGCTGTACAAAAAAAAATTATAAAAGTTAATATTTTCAAATATCTGTACAGAATAATTGCTAATCACCTAGAAGCTTGTTGTTTCTTTCCAAATAAGTTTTGAAATGAATAGTCCATACCAGATATACCTTTAAAAATCTGAAAAGAAAAATAATAAGTTTAAATGACAATTTTATTTAAGCTACTTAACCCAGTCAGAACATTACTTTGAGGTTTATTTCATTTCAGAGGTTAACTTTAAATTAACCCTATGTGTATGGATGGAGGTCAAAGTGAATATTTCAGACTTTTAAAGAGATATGTTAAAAATTGAATTAACTCTCTTGCTATGGGCTTGGTGGATTCACCAGAGTTCATGACCCCAAATCAACCTTTAGTGTTTCTACACTATAACTTTTAATATGTTGTGTGCCTTCAGGAATTTTCACAAACTTTCAGTAACCATCATGTCTTTTCTAAACAAACAATTAATGTTTAATGAAGTACCTTTACTAAAAATTTCTTGGTGAACACATGTAGTCAAAGTGTTGACTGTTCCTAGTGCAAAGTGATTTTCCTGTTACAATTAAAAATACTTTTCTTCACCTTGTCATATTTCATCTGGTAATCTTTAAAACCTCTGATATAAATTTCAAAGGTTATTTTCCAGCAAAACTTTATACTTTGTTATTTTTTCTATCCTAACTTTATATAAGGTCAAAATGGCTGATCTTGTAACCACCATAAAAAAACAAAACGAAATAAGTTTAAATTACTTTTTTTTACAATGACTTCAAATTGTGACAAGAAACTACATTTGTTCATCCTAAATAGCTCAAAGCTCATAACAGTATACACCTATTTCAATTTAAATTATATTGTTTTATTGCCCTTAAACTGTGTCTAGCTAATAATCCCACAAGTTTTAAATCACTAGGCAAATGTGTAGCTCATGTTACCCTATCAAATTCCATAATGCACAAACTACCCATCAGTTGCTCATGAGCATACCTCATGAAAGATTATTATTTTTCTTTATCTTACCTAACCTAATAAATAACTAATTTTTACATTTCAATTATTTTATAATAATAGATAAAGCATACACATGAAAAACAAGAAGTATAGTACTTACCTGAACCTTTTTTTTTTGCTGTTGACTGTTGATGAAACTTAACCCTACTTTTTTACAGCAGCAGATAGCTTAATGCTCTAAAACAAACTTTTTTTTTATAATAATTGTACTACTAAACTAAATTTTTTATTTTATTAAATACTGCACCTAAGAACACAGACTATTAACACCTTAAAACGAAATACAATACAACTATCATAATTTTTCTGGCTTTCTAATTATGCAATAAGAGTTGTTAAAAATCCAACTAAGCTCTTTGATGCATTTCCTATGGGAATAAAGTTTGAACTGGAAGTCAAGTAGACGATTCTCTGTACAGAAAACAACATAATACATCATTTGATAGATTAAAACTTTGGTTTTCTATTGGTTGTAAATAATATAGTATCAACCATCAGAGGGAGATTGAGGATTTTTAAAAATATTTCCTTACACAGTCAAGAACTTAAAACTTGTATAATATTAAAATTTGATTTAACTGTGTCTTGATGCCAAGTTTATTCGTATACCATAATAATAAAGTAGTTTTAAATTTTGAAAGTAACTATAAAGTCGTGACACGCACACTCTGACCCACTTGTGGTGAGAAAGTTAAACAACTATTATCAATGCATGTTAAAAAATTTGTCATCTAAATATAGTTTATAATGAAAAAATTAATACAAGTTTTAATTTCTTAAATTAAATATTCATATAAAATTTCAATCTTCACCTCTCTGTATCATGAGATGCCTCCCTGCTCTGATTTCACAGTTTTAAATTTTCTTTCTTTTCTTACACGAGTTTCAGAATATCAACCAGTTATAGATGTTGACAGTCCAGAATTTAAAACAAGAACATCCTAACTCTTCATGCTTTTGAAATTACTTATTTACTCATGCTTACTTGTCAATTTATTTTAATTTCATGCAAAGCTACACGAGGGCTATCTAAGCTAGCTGTCCCTAATTTAGCAGTGAAAGACTAGAGGGAAGGCAGCTAGTCATCACCACTCACCACTAACTTTTGGGCTATTCTTTTACCAATAAATAGTGGAATTAAACATCACATTATAATGCTCCCACAGCTGAAGGGGCATGGATGTTAGGTGGGACGGGGAATCGAACCCATGACCCACAGATTGTGAGTCATGCACCCTAACCACCTGGCCATGATTTGAAAGCTACAAGAATTATTTTTGGGGCAACCAACATGTGGAAAAAGTAGTTTTATAATATAAGCAGTGGTAATTATCTTGTTTCTATTTATATTATTTTTATTTATTGATACATATTTTTTTGACAAAATTAACTAAAATACAAAAACTAAAAACTTTCTTGGTTAAATAAGAAAACTTAAATGAAGAAAATTAAATTTAAAAAAATCTCTCATATGATTAAACTGCAAGATTTATAAATTTAACAATTAATTACCTTGATAGTTCTTGCTTTGCTATTTCCTGTACTGCAGAAAATCACACAGTGAGCATTATTTAGAACAGGCAGGGTCAGGGTGACTCGGCATGGGGGTGGTTTAGGAGAATCATTAATCGGAGCAACCCATTTTTTGTCTTCCTACAGAAAATAAGTACTAAAGAAATTCAAAACATGCAGTAATACAAAAAAAATATTACATCTTTGAACAATTTACAAATTACATTTTAAAACATTAAAATATTTAAACTGACACTATAACATTACAGTTCATAGTCTTAGAAGACCATAAAAGAAAAAAAAACATCAAGTGAAATTACAAATATGAAAAACAAAACATTACACATTCTAAGCTTAAGTCCACTTTATTAACCAACTTTTGAAGGTCTCACAGGATGAGATGATATCCCAAAATACAATAAGTTCAGTAAAAAAATGCAATCTCTCTTGTAAAATACACTTTTTTGCACCATATCTGTAACCTTTTTTCCTCCAATATATATCTAGCCAAAGAGAAACTTTGGGTTATTAGTTGGTCACACATGCAACTCTTAAAATATGGCAAAAACCATCAACTATAACAATTTAAATAAACTAATATATCTTGTAGATGTTTTATTGTATTCACTTTCCCTCCATATAAAAACTACAAAGGGAATACAAAATTGCTAAATTATCCACAGTTTGAATCTAGTTTCAAAATTCCTTGATTTCAGAATGGCAGCTGTCATACCTTAAAAATTGCAGCTAAAAGGAAAGTCTTAAACAAAATAATTAGTTTATGGAAATGTTTCATAAGAGACATTAAAGAATAGACACTTACTAATAAGCATGAACATAAGCAAGATATAAGATTTTCAAATGTATAAAAAATTTTATTCTGGTGGAGTTTTGATGAGTTAACTGCCATAACATTTTTCTTAAATAAATGCCGATGGATTTGTTTCTGCAAGTTAGGTGAAAATAACATTTTGTTTCTCAGCCAAAAACTAAAAATAACCAAATCAATATTAGAGCTACTGGAGTGTGATGAATTACTTGGATAATATTTAGTAAATACACGAGTCCTTTACTTTAAAATCCATCCTTGCAAGGTGTCTCCACATTACACAAAAACAACTTTTTAAAAAAAAAACACACAAAGAGCTTAGGTACACCCAGTTTATGGCCTGAAATATGAGCTAGGTTAGGCCATGGTTCAGGCCCTAAACACTAATCAATAATAATTACTGTCATTTATGTTTTTGTTTTTTCTGCTTTATTCAAATATAGTTAATAGATGGAATAAAAAGTAAAATGAAGGAGAATAAATCAAAAATCAGAGTCCAAGATATTAAAATTCAAGTTCTCCGCAATTGTTGCAAATGAAAAGTGTAGTTTTGGCTTACATGTATATTTAAACTCCTTATTCTAATATTAGGTATAAATGTTAAATTTTGGAATGTCACAAAGAGAAGAGAAAAATATTTGCATGTCCTGCCCCAGATTTGACTGGAATACCTACTTTCCTTATGTTTAATACAGTCTTAGTTTGATCCTCATCCCCCTCACTTTTAAAACCACTCTGATATTTATGCTAAGGTTATAAGCATAATTAGATTGTAAATAGTTAATTGTATGTATGCAATAAATTAATAAACACATGTGACTACAGTCTAGAAAAATTGAGACTGGATAGAAGCTGTAAGACTGGGAGAAAGTTGTTAGTATTGACAATATAATGAAAGAGCAGTATTGAAAATTATGGTTCACCATGCAGTACTTAGTGGAAGGTACATAATTTTGGCTTTGAAGTGTAGTAGAAAAATGATCCAAACATGCTGTCTTGCTGTATAAGAGGTATTTTGAGGAGCATGAAATAGATGAAGGTATATAAGCTTTGAAATGGCTGGAACAAAGATCTTATGTTAATCCATTGGAAATTTTGAGCTAAGAAGTAATATTGCAAAAAAGAAGCAAGCCTAACCTTTGGTATCTTCATAAGATTTTATAGCAATTATTTAGAAGTAGCAAACATTAGTCTCAAGCTAATACCCAAGCCTAATCAATATCACCACACAGTTAATGTTAAAAGGAATGCTCCATCCAACAACAGGTTTTACTCTTTTAAAATTCATGAATTACAGTAAAAAACAACAACAAGAAACACAGTAATGTTTTAGATACTTGTTTAATATTTCAAAACAGTTGGATCTGCAAAGACTGAACTAAAGCTATGTATATCTACAAGTCAAACTGATTTGTATGCGTAGGTGGCACTGTAAAATTTAATGTTCTGAAATTTTTGTTAAATATATTTTTGGGATGTATCAAAATTTCTTTTTAAATTTCCTTCAGAAGTATACCAGTAATGGGTTCATTGCTATTGTCAGTTTTCATTTTACTCTTGTACAATGTTAACTCAATGTCTTGGTAGAAATTTGTAAACCTTTAACATTAAAAGTGGAGTTGAAGATGAAGGGCTGTTTAAAGTGCTAAAAAGTTTTCACATCTCTCAGTTCTACTAAGTTTGACACTTGGGTTCGATCCTCCAGATAAGGTTTCTAACAACAATGAAATTCTATAGAATTTTATACAACATCACTCCCACTAAATATGGCATATTTTATTCAGATATCTACTCATAAGGAAATACTGACTGAATTTTACAGTTAAGTTTTATGCTAAATATATCAATGACATTTTTGAAGATGCTAAGACAAGTTCTAAAAATGAAAATAAAAATTACTTTCTGTAATAACTATTCATGCAAGGTTAGGTATAGTAATAGTACCAGTATGTAAATTCAAATGTACTAGTGGATCCATTTAAAACAAAAAAAAAACAAAAAAAAAGAAATGTAGGTTAGGCTTTGTATTTTAACATATATACAGTTATGGAAGATAAAATGACACTATAATCATCATGCTTTGTTTCTGTATTTTACTGTAACACAACCAAAAATTCTATTTATAGTAAAAAAAAAAAAGTTTAATTTACTCTTCTAGACCAGAAAATAAGGCTACATGACATGTATTAGAAGACACATCTTGAACCTTGGGTTTAAAAAAGTAATGTCAAGTCATTTTTCAGGTAGTACAGATAGCTTTTTTTTTTACCTTAAGTAAAGGATGGCCAGGAAACAGGGAACATGTATGTCCATCTGGTCCAACACCTAACAACAACAGGTCAAACTTTGGCCACTGACCCATGGTGAAATGTTTTTCCAATTTTTGTTGATAATCAGCTGCAGCAGCCTCCACTGAAATATAGAATTATTAGATAATCATTATAGCAAATATAAAGCATGAAGATTCAATTACAGCAACTTGTGTAATAAATGTTAAAAATTAAAAACAGGATCAATATTAAAAATCCACAATAAAATTTTGTTAGGCCAATATCGATTCTAAACATCAAACCTATTTTTCATATATTACTTATACATGTAAAGCTCAGTTATCATGACCTTCTTTATCCAAAAATCATACTTTACTTTTTATAATATTAAACCAAACCTCAGGGGTTACTCTTCATTGGTACTAAGGTATAAAATTTAGTATATAAATTTGAAAAATTAAAAAGCATCAAACCTTCAATTATATTTACAATCACAAAATATATATAAAGTAAAATAAAGATAAAAATATGTTTACTTTGCTTTTTATGGGTTTACATATACAAGTCAAACTTATTTGTATATTCAGGTCGTTGAGAATATTACATAATTACTTTGTTTTCAAAGATAAATTCCTACTCTTTATGTGCTCAAACGTATCTAGCTACTAATACCAGTGCTCAAAGTGTGGAAGCCTATACTTTGGATCTACAGTTCAATGTCTTCATGAGGGTATTAAATAGCATTCCTACAACAAAGACCCAGAATGATGTACCCTGCTATACCAATGCTATGAACCACTGACAAAAAGAATATTTCAAAATTGATGGCTCAGCAAAGACTGGGCCAAATAGCTTGTGTTTTTAGACTATTACTGGATCTATAGCTCAGTGACATTGCAATTAACTATTGAACTTTAATGTGCCAGGAGAAACAAGAATGATACAATAAATAAATTTGCAAGTAATATTAAAACCAAGAAACAGAAACAAAACCATTACCTTATTATACATAAAAACAAATTCTCATAATTAAGATGCAACATTAAAAAAAAAATCTATGAAAGGATATTTTATCCTAAAGTATTATTTCTAAAAACAACTTTTACCATGTTACCACTTAGTTGTAGACCAAATATTCAATGAAAAGTATTTGTTGAAGAACACTTAACTTTCCTGTGAATATAAACTGCCCTCTACTGGATATTAATTATAATTCAATAATGCTAAAAATCTTTCAACACGTAATTATTTCTTCTTTACAAAACCAAAATGAAAAACGAGAAAACATGACTTAAAGGTTTAAAGTTTTTAACAAGCCAAAAATATGTTTACTAACAGTTAAAGGGCAATTTTCATAATTTTAAGCATGATACCTATATAAATTCACTTGCTATCTCAAAATCACCAGTTTCAACAATATACAAGTTCTCACAGACAGTGAATTTTAAAATTTAAATTACATTGTTAGTATTAAAATTATCATTAATATTAAAAATGTTTTTTTTAGCAGAAAGCTACAAAATGGACTATCTGTCCTCCTCCTCAGCGGAAAGTCGAACCCCAGATTTTAGCAATGTAAGTCCCGAGATGTATCACTTACCCACCAAGGGACATATTAAAATTAAATTCACCTTTATTACTAATAACAGTATTACTAAAGTATTTGGCAAGTAATTTTTATAACACATAAGCCAATTTTCTCTATTACATGGAAAGATAACTTTGTTTATTTTCTTCTTTTTCCTGATATTTAGAAATCCATATAAACTTGGAGGTTGTTCTCCAGCCCAAATTATTTTACAATAAGAAAACACAGCCCTTAACCCATTAGCAATGTCTTAGTCAACCCATTTTTGAATAAAAATAATGTTTGTGTGTGTGTGTGTGTGTGTGTGTGAAGAATATATTTTAAAACAGAACTTCTCCCTCAACCACAGGCAAAGTATCGTTTTGTGTGTGGCAAGGCACAGACAAAAAATTTCAATAATTGTTTGTTGTAAGCATTGGAAAGTTCAGTATCTACTATATCCAGATATGCAATTCATATGATGGTAACATATTTCAGATGGGAGTTATAAGCACTCAGAGAGATACCAGATTTTGGAGTGGCCATACAATCTTATCAGCAATGATCATACACACACACACACATCTATTAATTATCTCTTTTTAATTCTCAAATACAATTATGTGACCTTTCTTCATTGTCTGTTTGAGACCTTGTTCTTGATCCTTTGATCTGGAAGAAAGCTACTAATACTACTATCATTACTATTCTTCTCAGCATCAAACCTATTTTTGAGTGCCACCATAGCATCTTCAAGCTTGATAAATGGATTTGCCTCAACAGGGCTGCCAAAAAGTTCATCATGGTCACTTTCACAGTGGTCACAAACTGAACATCTCAGAACCTTGCACATACAGGTAATCAAAGAAATAATGGTGACTAATGATGATATGCTGAAAAGCAGCAAAGTTCCAGTCACAGTCAGTGGGGCTTGAAGCAATCTGCTGAAAATCTGGGATCTGGACTGTAAAACAGATGCAATAAGAAGTAGAGAAGAAGGCTCATGAAGCGGACCCATTATTCACATAAGAAGTATTACCATTAATTATGGGGTTTCTGCTGATGATTTGGCCATTCATAACTTGGTTAATTTTTTGTCCTATTTGAAAATTGTAAAATTTAATTATCATGTTTCATCATAGGCTACATCCTGCATAAAATTTACCAAAACCAGGCTAGTTCATAAAAAATAAATGATTCCATTTTAAAATATAGTGTTAAAAAAAATCCTTATCCTAATTCCTGGTGTGTAATAAGATAAATAAAATTGACAAAAAAAATTACACTTCTTCTTAATTCACTTTCACGTTGAAATGGATGCTATCAAGCATGTGTTAATACAAGTAGCATCTCAAGATCTAGGTGATTAGTGGATTTGCTAATCAGTTAATTGTCAGACTTATCAATTAATTAATTAAACTAATTTATCATTATCACAAGATGGCTAAAACAAAAAACAACTAATAACACTATAAAGTGGGTTTCAATACCTATAGTGAACAGAGCAGAGGTAGCCCATCATGTCACATTGTACTTGAACAAATAATACATGGAATAATCTAAAATGGTAATAATCAGACAACTTAACTGTTTGAGTGTGTAATTAAATATCAGGTGGGTTCTTGAAAAGTGTTGATTATCCACTAACAAATGAAATTTGGAATTCAACCTTTTTTAGCACACTTTCAATATCACAATTCACTAGTTGCACCTTTGCTCAGTGATGTATGCACACACGGTACTAAGGTAGAAAATTCAAAGACATGCGAGTATCCCAATTGTCACACTACGAGGTAAAGTTTTTGTGACACCATGGGGTAAATCTGCTTGTTGCACCAAACAGCTATAAATATCAAGTCGGATAAATCCAATTACAGCATCCAAAGGGTTAATTAATTTTGATTAGTTGATTATTTTCATGAGTTGTTACACTAATTGTTTATGGTGAACAAGTTTGAATGATCTAAAATAATAAGAAGATATTTTGATTACTGGATATTTAAATAATGAAAATCAGTAATAATGGGATAGCACTAATTTCAATTACTGCAGATCTGGAATAATCAAAAATGGAAATAATTAGAAACACTGGTTGATTATTTTCATGACATTAATTGACTTAATCATAATTTTGTTAAATTATTTACTTCATACTAATCAATGTAAAAAAAGCTCATAGGTAATCAACTTAAACACTTGGCTCTAGCTTCAATCACCACTAACTCTGTCGTTTACCAGCTAGCTTGAAGTGCCATGGTATTCGGCAAAAGGTCTCATCAGCACTGCATCATGATATAAAAGACTGTTTAGTTTAGATAGTATTGATTAATTTATTTTTGTGAGTGAATATTTTATTATTG